TAACCCAATCATGATCATTTTTTACGTAGATATGATATTCTAGAGCGGGAAAACTAATGCTGAAGGTGAAAAATGGGTGCATATTTGGGATTCAGCATCTCAGAATTGTAAAAAATTGGACATAATATCCAATGCACCATCTAAAAAATATTTTTGTAGGCCAGTTTTATTATATTTTAAATTCCATTTTTATTAGGAACCAAATCCAGCAGTTAAAGGAAAAATAGTTATAGTGTCCCTAAAATACTTATAGAGTCCCTAAAATACTTATAGTGTCCCTATAATAAGTGGGGTTCTCATTCGTGTTTACAACGTGAAGTGTAATCCATTACATCTAATATGGTTTCCCTTCGGTAAGTTATATATCCAACACTTATCCAATATTTGCTGAATTAAGATTGTTCTCGATGAATTAAAATTAACGGACAAAATTAGATTCTATTCATTTCATATTAACATTTTTGGATGATCTTTCTTATTGGCCACTTTTACCCACTGAAACCATGACCCGTGTCTTGAAACATGAAGCGGCACTTTCAAAGCCGACCTCTAGATGGGTATAATATAAACAGATGGGAATCAACTAACGCCAGTATCGATAAAAAAATGTTGTCCATTCTCCGATGCTGTAGTCATCGTAAGATACGACACTTGCACGATTAGCTGGCGACTTTAAACAATTAAATTATCTTTACTACATTTAAAAACATTTCTCCACGTTTTTAAGCAGGCCGCAGATACATTTGAAAAGAAACATATCTTCCTTCACCTACATTATGAAGCAGGGAACTAATACATTTAGATACATATAATTATACATATAATTACTCTCTCTCTCTCTCTCTTACTTCTCTCAAATCATCCAAAGTAGTCGATCAGGAAGGTAGTAATTAACAGCCAATCTTCCGAAGCCCTAGCAGTCAATGTTGGCGAATTCCTATATACGATCCAACGTTAAAGAGGCAGGTAAAATGACCGGCTCTCTGTACCGCTCTAGTTAATAGCTGACTCTTCATGCTACCCTCTACCTTTATAAGAGCCAAAAATGGAGTACTGTTGCCATATTTGGACAGGAGTTCAAAAGAGTCTTCGAGTCATTGTGAGAGATGAATTATTTTCCAACCTCTCTCTCTCACAAGCGGATGTGGTAAGCTTCTCGCTGCTCTATCGCTATTTCTACCGAAAGTGCTCAGACGAACTAGTCCCTTGTTACCGTCAGGGTCTAACCTTCATGGCTAGGACCGGCCATGTCACTTAGATTGTTGCAAATCATCCACATTCTCTCCGTATTCCATCGACGAGAAGTAAATTCCACAGCTTCTTCCTGCGAACCACTGCCCCGTGGAACAGACATTTTAAAGGATGTTCCTCTGATCACTACAATCTTAACCTGTTCAAGTCTAGTGTCAACCGTTACCTTCCACTCCTATCCATATAAACTACCCCTTATCGTAACCCTCTACCTTGAGTGGCCCCCGGGCCTGGTACAGAGTGAACCTTACTGTAAAAAACAAAAAAAATCTGATTGTCACTTTCAAATCTTCATTTGTACCCACTTCTTAAAATAACGATCATTTATGATTGTTATTAGAATATTTTGTTAATGTTGTTAAGCTCAAATATTTAACGATGTGATAGGGGAATTTTTACGGACATTTTTATTGCCATAGAACACACCATGGTCTTATTCAATCATTAACTTAAGTATTAAAATTCATCAAAATATTCAAATAAGAAAACTACGAAATTTTCACCGGTTTTTCTAGTAAGTTAGAATTTTAGATGCCAAACAAATATTTATAATGGATTTCAAAAACTTTTAATTCTCTACATTATGACTGAAACAGGGATATTTTCTATGTTATGCGTCCTGGGTAAGACGATAAACTACATCCAACAGAATGAAAGTAAAAACTTTGCTTAAACGGAGCTCTGTCAAATGGTGTAATGGCAACGCTAAGTTTAACCGTTCCCATGCAGAAAACATTCGACATTCATTAACAGATCAGATAATGATAATCTCGATAGAAATATATATTTTTTTATTCACACAGTTTCTCAAGACTGTTCAATATTTTGTGAGTGGACCGTTCATATCAATATGCAAATTAGTAAACCTTGCATTTCGGTTACTAAATTTACCAATAGATATTTTATTATACTACATGATAAACTTCGTTGACATGCGAAGTAATATTTTGTCCAGGTTCGTATGCCTGTTGTTATACTTGGCCATACATATCTTGGAGCTATTTGTGAAGATGATTATTCATATACCGTAATTTCCCCATGTATATTACACATTTTTTCTAAAAAAAATAAGCAAAATTAAGAGTGTGTATTTTATTATAAAAAATGCCGTTTCATAAGTCGATTTCTGTTGCGAAATTATTACTCACAACAAATATATGACAATTTGAGAGTAACATTCGGCGAATGCAACCCCATAAGGATGTCAAATACAATCATATGAACCTAACTTACAAATGTAAAATAAAATAAGAATTACCATAAAACTAAATTAGAATAATGTTATTCTATGTTTAAAACCATTTTAATAAGAGTAGGAAACGTTGGTCGAAATGAAATTGGAGAGGTACAATTTATAGGGTTTGATTACCAAACAAGGGATGCGTATTATGCAGAAACATTTTCCCACACTTTCAGCACAATTTTAGGGTTGCGTATTATGGATGACGGCGTATTATACTTGGGGAATTACAGTACTTGAATGTCATAACCTGTGAAAATGTTGAAAAATAACCTTATATAGAGAAGGAGATGTTTATATTTTTATCCCTAAAAGGAGCAGGTAACTCGATTATTTGAAGTGACCTCCCCTGTATTTCAGTATACATTGTACCATATTTCTTTTGTTCATCTGCTATATACCTATAGCTGAAATATGCTAAGTCTATGTGATAAATAGTTGTTCTTGATTGGATATCAGCTAGTGTTGTTGGGTCCAGAGACATATTTGATGTCTGAAGTGAACTTTGAAATATAATCTAATTGTCGCAACTCTCTTGGGGAATAGTACTGCGCCTTTAATACGGATTTGTGAAATTTCTAGCTTCCAGAATGTTCTGAAAATCTTACATCGCTAAATAGATGGACAAATGTTCTCTGAGAAATATACTGCAATTTCTCTGAGTGGTAGACATTTTGGCAGCGAAGAATGAAATTTACTTGGCATTGCCGTTAGTAACTTAGCACCATTCCAACAGCTACTGCTGATGAGTCTATCAGCAACACCAGTTTGCTCTCAGCGGCCTTTTTTGCTCGTTCTACCGATTGGACTTGTTCCGAATTTGTGCTGATGTCCTTTTAATTAGATGATAAGTGGCGCTAAAAGGGAAGAACTGTGTGGAATTGTAGTGAAAGAGATAATCAGCTACCTCGAAAAAGTGTTCGTGCTTTTTGTGCGATCTGCCGAAGAAAAATTATCAAAAAGTAGTTAGCAAAAAATCTACTTTAAGGACCAGAATCTATGCTAATGTTCTTCCCTCCCCTGAATGGCGTGACCAATCAGAAAAAAAATCTCTTAGTGAAAAAGCCGTTGTTTTTCGCTTATGTGAACAGATTTGATTTTTTGAGTTTGGTGGACGAACACGCGTTTTTGCTGGTGAGAAGTGAAGGTTGGATGCGTGACCCCATTTTGTCGATTCTACGTTGCCTGTTGGACTGTTACGACGGAATATCATTTGGACTGTGATTTGATTACAAGTGTTGCGGTCGAGAGACAAGAAATCTATTGAAGACATTTATTGTCACTATAAGTTTACAGTTTTTTTCTTTACAGCTACCTGAATGTAATTCCTGTAATCTTACTTATTATAAAACGCAGATTGTGTGTGTGTGTGTGTGTGTGTGTGTGTGTATATATTGGATCGGATTTCCTCCATTTTTCAACCGATTTCAACAAAGCTTCACAGGGCTACGTAAAATTACCTTGCGGTGGTTCTGACTGCGCCAAAAATTGGGAAAACACAATTGTTTTTGCACGAAATCAATTTGAAAACACGATAAAACACGATTCTGTCGCCAGAATGAAAGGGGGACAACTCATATCGAGTTATACTTATTATAAAACCCAGGTTGTTTGTGGGTGTGCGTGTGTGTGTGTTCGTTTATATATGGGATCGGATTTCTTACATTTTTCAACCGATTTCAACAAAACTTCACTTTTTTTTGGCAGATAGTATTTCTTATTGTCTTGCACACTTTTTCTTTATTTTTACTTTCAGAATGCTTTAAAAATTCAATTTACAAGACAATTGTTTATAATAAAATCCTATTCAATCGATAGACTCATAACGATTGAAAACAATGTTTTTGTTTGAGTTTGACCAATTCGTAAAAAAAACCCCAAAAAACAAAAAAAACTAATTAAGACATGCGTGTCCGTCAACCTTAAACAATAATCTTTGACAATTTTATTTTTCAGTCTTTATGATGGTCGATACTTGATCTATCTCTTACTGTTACATCCCCGGGCAACGCCGGGCTCTACTGCTAGTAATTAATAAGTCTGACGAATCTTCTCAACTGCCAAACTCACATGGGTGTTGGGAATTTTGAAATGAAATCTACTTTATCTTGGTTACGCGAAACGCTTTCCTCTTTACGCTTTAGTTGTTTAACACCCAAAATACATTTCTCAGGGTTTATTCCCTTTCGATATGGAGTTAGTCTGGTAAATGGTTCATGAAGATGTTTCAAATACTCTAACTTGTTTGCACTGGCGATAAGCATAACGTCCACGAATGCATAGATAATGGTTAAAACATGAAAGACTTCGACTATGAACAGCTGGAACTTCTGTGTTACCTTACGAAGAGCAAATGGCATCCTTCTAAATTCCTACCGTCCAAAAGGTGTTGTTACTGATGTTTTATGTATATCCTCGTCTGCTACTGGTATTTGGTGGTAAGTTGGTACAAGGTCCAGCTCAGAAAAAATGGTCGATCCTTGTAGGCTTGCTCTAAAGTCGCCAATGTATGGGGCGGGGTGGGCGGGGGTGGGCGGTCATGAGTTGTGATATTTCAATCAAGCTCCTAAAATCGGCGAATACTCGCCAGATCGAATTGTTTGAGGATACCAAATGGACTGAAGATGACCATGAACTTTCTGAGGGTCGAGTTACTCCTTCTTGCAGCATTTCTCAAATTCCAAAAGTTTGTCTCTTCGGGAAGAATAAAAAGTGCGGTTTTTAGTTTGGGTGAAATGCCTAGTTGTATGCTTGATTGTGTCTGAATGTAAATATTGTGTGGGACTTACCTCCTCCTTAATTCCCTAATTATTCACTAGGGGTCATTCTCCCTATACTATAAATACTGGACGACTTCTCGCCTCGTTCTCTTTTTCATTTCTTCATTTCAGCGACTACAATGTAAACTCTTTTAGAAGATCCGCGTCTTCCCATTTGTGGAAGACGCCGTGAACATTATACTCACATACACGTACGTACGAACATTCACCAAAGAACAAACACAAATATTCACACACACACAAATGTCATTGTCTATGTCCATTGTAAAATTGTGTTGTTTAATACACATATTTGTTTACAAATTTTCAGAGAGACCATTGAAAGTAGAAGACAAACCACTGAACTATATAAAGTCTTTCATCTATCTTGGTAGCAAAGTCAATTACAGTGGAACTTTAGATGATGAAATCATGTATCGGATTTCTAAGGCTACCAGTGCTTTCGGCAAACTTCGCCATCGCTTGTGGAATGAGCGGGCCATTCGAATGGATACGAAAATTCGGGTTTACAGAGCTGTTGTACTTGCCATCCTTTTGTATGGCTCAGAGTCGTTGATTCCATACAGGTACCATATACGCCAGCTAGATGTTTTCCATAAAAGCTGTCTGCGTGCAATCTGTGGAGTTAAGCTTCGAGATAGGACATCTAACGTAGACCTGTTTAACAGGTGGAATATTGGAGGAATCGAGACTTTTATCATACAGTCTCAGTTACAGTGGACTGGTCATGTCTTGAGAATGTCTAATGACAGAATACCCAAGATCCTAATGTACAGCCAGTTAGATCAGGGCTACAGGAATGTAGGATGCCCAAAGCTAAGATACAAAGACAAGCTGAAAAGCAACTTGTCAGCAATCAATATACCACATAACACCCTTGAGTGCTTAGCCTTGTAGCGGGTAGAATGGAGATCAACGTGTTTTAGTGCACTCAGCAATTTTCAATCTGCTTGTCTGAATCATCTTCAAGAAGCGAGAGCAAGATCTAAAAGGTCAGCCAATCTAACAATGATCTCATCTCACAATCCTCACACTTGCTCCATATGTGGCCTCCTTTGTAAATTACTAGCGGGTCTTAAATGCCACTTAAGATTATCGCACAAAATTTCATAACTGAATCAATTCAACAACACGCAAACACAGACGGTCCTCTACAATTGAACGCAGGTTAAATCAGGATACCGGTAAAAATGCATCTGTATATTTCATTTTTTTTTTTTTTTTTTTTTTTTTGCAAATGCTGCACGAATACCAGTTTTGTTGTGTGTAGCATGTATATTCCTGTTATTTTATGAGATCTATCTCTCCGTCCGTTAAAGTGCACTGGATCACATTCATAGACAACTTAAAATTTGATTGAAGGTATGCGCCGATTATGGGCGTTTTTTACATCAACTTTAACAAACGTCCACATGAATTTGCGTCGTAGACCTCAACCGAGTTTAATTGATATTTCACTATACGTATTAATTATTCTGCCGTTAGAAGTCTGTAAACGATACACTTTAATATTGCTTTGTTCGTTGCACGTGGGCGTAATGACACTGATTTAAGCTCCTGTGTTTAATTTTGCTGTTCTATCAAAGATGTCAAATAAATGGCTGCTTCGTTTGGCAACCGATCAGTGAGGCCGCACTCATTGACCGGTGAACCTTGTGTTGGGTAGGTAGTCACAGGGCTTAGTGCATTTCCTTACCATTTCAGCAAAAAGATAATGGTACCAGCATACCGTAGAGATCTTTGGTTAGTGTCGTTTTCTATTGACAATCCTTTTTCTAGCAGTGTGCCGTGAAAAAAGAATAACTACGTGACCACCTACTGAGCTGTTTCATCTGCCTTGTCAATTCCTCAACTTCCCGTTTAAGATTCGTTATGTCTTCCTGTTGCTGACTTGGTTCGTGTAAAGACCGTACTCATCTGTTTTTATGACGAGTGTATTTTTTCAGCGCGCGCGCAAAAAATAAATAAATAAATAAATGAAAAATAAAAAAAATAAATAAAAAAACGAAAATTTACCGTACAAAATTAAGGTCCCACTTGAACGTCAAAATGTCATGATATTGTAACCAAAATTTCCAGGATTCTAAAAAGATTAATAAAAAAAATCCATCAAAAATTCTTTGAACCTTTCTCTTTATAATGACACGAAGATTTTAAAGTTTTATTTTGATTTTTTGGGTACTTTTTTTCCTATAGTATCCTTCTTTTAGCAAATTTTTGGAGCCACCTTTTTTTGAAAGTTGTATTAAGAAATAAAATTTAATTGTTTATTAATTCTGGTTTTGTTATTTACATTCAGAATAATTCTTCTTTAATTTCTGGGGAAATTGTCTTGTCATACTGAAATTACAAGAGAAATGAAGATTATTTCATTGTTCGACCTGGAGTGGACTTATTTTGAGGAAGGAACTTTACACCGGATTTAGAAGCGAAAGCGACAAAAAAAGAAAAACACCGATTCTTTGCAGAGGACAAAATGTCGATTTGCGTGCACATTTGTCGGCAGGGTTTGTTTTCAGGATTTTGGCCAAGGTGGACAGTTTTGGCTCGAAATATAACGAAAAAGGTCAGATGTTAAAATAAATTTAGATTTATGCTAAGAAACTGATTTGCTTGTAATTGTAAATATTATTACTTTTAGGTTTTATGCCCTTTCCGTGAGGAGGAGAGAGATTTCTTCTTCATTTATCTTTCTTCTTTACTTCAAAAAATAGTATAAACCACAATTAATTAAGTTAATTATTTGTAGTTAAAACCATTTTTTTAATATTGTATGACAATAATTTCGTTTAAAATGACCTTGAATTGATTTTACTGATAAAATTCAGAAACTTCATGTCTAATTTTTGTCGAATTTAAAATTCACTGCAATTAATTTTTAAATTATTCGGTTTATTAATCACTAAATTACAATTAAAAAGTTCTACTGACAGATCCACGAACAATTTATTGGTAATTTCAAAACGTGCCAAACTGTTGAAATTGTCAGTGTCCTTTGCTTTCTAAAATTTTAATTTTTATTTAATTTTTTTCTGGGTTGTATATTTAATTAGGTTAAGATGAGTCAAACTATTGTTTATTCTTTTTCCTCTAAGTATCTTGAAAGAATATGACCTTCATTTCTTGCATAAATTAACTTTTTAAATTTTTCTTTTGTAGTGGGTGGGGGGTAATGCGAAATTTGAGCACGAACCTTGTTATATCACCAATTTTTTTAAAATGCAAACAATGTGTCTTTTTTTGCTAATCCATAACGTCCATAATTCTTAAAGTACGGAAGCCTAAAAATGTAATTGCATTTTCTTTTTCTAGGCAACTAGGAACCCAATATATTTTTTTTAAATTATTATGAACTATGTTCTTGTTTGAAATTGTTATTATAGACACAATGTTTCGGATTTATACACCTTGACCATCTTCTGTTTTGTATCAGCTGCAAATATGAGGATCAAGCCAAAAGTAATAATGTCTGTTCTTGAATTACAACAGATTTTTAGGGGAGAAAGCAAATCTAGTCTTGAACATAGTGTTTTTCCTTTTCAATTGTTATTCCATCTTTGATGTTATACCAACCTTGTAGAAGCTTTTTAGCTACTTTCTTAGCCAGATGCAAAGAGCTCCTTTCAACTTTCATCATCAGAGAACTGCTTCCTGCTTAGGAAGGTTCTACAGATTCAGAATCTCCAACTGCTATTTACTCTGTCATGAAGTCAATTTGAATTCTGAGGACCATGTTGCACAGACACTTGTGTAACCAAGAGGCTACTACACTAAACTGCAGGCACTACCATGCTTCACCTGAATACATTTACAGAATTTTGCAATGATGATTCTTCTTCTGTAATGAGAGCATCAACCCATTTACCCTTATCCTCATTCACAGCAGCAGTTGGCCTAAGATCAGTTCCACTTTTGCCATTAACTCAGCTGACCTTTATTCTGCAGAATTTCCATAAACATTCACCAACCTCCTGTGAATGTTTGACGGGACTTCCTCTTTCCCCAAACAAATTATATGATAGCTTTTTGCTTTCCAGACTGGCAGTGAGATAAGGATTATAGGAACAGAAAGAGAAAGCATCTCAACAAATTTTAATTTGTGCATCTTGGCATTTTGTTTATAGCTTTAAAAAAAGCTAATAATGTGTTAGTTTTTGAGTGATTACTGCAAAGAGTGCTTTAGTAAAATTTTGATAATTTTACTTTGGCAAACATGGATAAATGTGCTCACAATAAGATGGGATGACAAATGAGGATTTTTTTTTTTTACCATGACACCACTTTTATATTAACTACCTTTACTCTTTGACAATGATTATTGTTTTAAAAAGCAATAATTAAAATTAGAATAAAATTTAAACATGTGATGAAAGTGAATTTATACATAATTTTTGTTCTTGAGAATTTACAACAAAAATATTAAACACTATTACATTGTTTATTTACAAGGATTTTATATATATTATATAAGTTTATATTTACAACATTCTAAAAATTAATACAATTAAAACTAATACAATATTTATCACTTATCAATTTATATAGAAATAAATATGAAAACATTTTTTATTCATAAATCTAGAAACATTTCCTAAATTATTAAAATATGTGAACCAACTACAAGGAAATCCTTATTTACCGTTTTATAAAGTTTGTTGGCAGTTGACCAATGTTTTGCTAACCATTCCAATAAACTATGTAATAAATAAATTGTTTGTTATTATTTTTGTTGTCAATTCTCAAGAACAAAGAAAATGTATCAATTCACTTTCATATGTATAGGCTTTATTACAATTATAATCATTGGTTTTTAAAACAATAAACATTGCCAATGAGTGAAGGTAGTTTAAAAAAAGCAGTGTCATAGGAAAAACCATCTTACTGTGTGTGGGGGTGGCACATTTATCTATGTTTGCCTTTAGTTTTCTCAAACACAAACTGATCAGATTAATATTGGCATGCAGCACAAACCAATATTTTTTTTTACCCGTTCTTTCTCCAAAATTGTAGCTTTAATTCTGAGATTATTTGTCAAGAATTATCTAATTCAAGAGAAATATGATTGTCATTTCCAAGGATTATCAGGATCTTTTTAAAAAAAAATAGGCAGGATGAGAAGATCTTTTAACAATAGCACGTTTCTGTTAAAAAAAAAAAGAAAAAAGAAAGTTATTCCAAATTCAGGTTTGAAACAGTGTTAACTTAAAGTTACCATAAATAATGATTTTGGTTAACACGCTAAAAATACAATTGACAGTAGGACATCACACTAAAGGCAGGTTGATGCAATAAAAGATATAAAAAATATATTTGGCTTCCAATAATCTTAATGCTGTTTGTGAATGTGTGTTCTTTATATATATATATATATATATATATATATATATATATATATATAAACGTGTTAATATGTAAGTAAACTAATCATTCATAAAAAATAGGTGAAAATTTGGTGGTGAATCGTGTTTGTGGGTTAGCATTCATTAGACCTTCCTCAAGATGCAATATACTGAATTTTTAACATTTTAGAAGCAGGTGGAGTCTTGTTCGTATGATTGTTACAGTGTAAAATCAATCTCTGATATTTCTTTTTTAAAAATACCAGAAAATTGTTTTTTTTTTTATAATCTCATTCTCTGATGAAGCTTTAGAAGCATGTTAAATTCATAAACATTTCTTATTTGTTCTTTATCCTATCATATATATATATATATATATATATATATATATATATATATATATATATATATATATAGGAAAAACTAAACTATATAGTTTTTCCTTTTGTCTGTTTTTTATTCATTTTGGCTTTTCTACAGATAAACTCCATCTGAGAATATTTACACATACATATATGTACATGGGAAAAGGATATAAACATTTTTATATATCAAGGGAAAAAAAAAACAAAGTGGAAAAAGTTTTTATGCAATGCATTTCATCAAGGACATCAGAAAAAAAAATATATATATATATATATATATATATATATACACACGGAGAGTGCAATGGGTAAATTGTTGCCATTTTATATTTTTAATTTCATGCATTTGCAATGTTTGTTTTTGATTTTTTTTTTTCAACTGAACAGTATAGTTGGGTCAGTTGGGTACCGTCTGTGTGAAAAAGAGCACCATGACTCAATTCACTCAGCCAGAAATTTGGAAACATATATACACTACTTGAGTCACTACTTAACTTTAATGCTCTCACAATTTTCAGGCAGCTAAAACATTTTAGTCGACTGAAGATCAGAAGAGTGTGAAACTTAAGTAGCGACTCGAACAGTACCTGATTGAGTGTTGACTTTGTGACACGTTTTTTGCTCTGTCAGGGTAGCCTATATGTTGAGCATTTTAACTTACTGCTTAGGTAAGGGTTTACCTTTTGTTTTTAGTTTGAAATTTTTTTCCTTGCTACAGTTTTAGGTCTTTTGGCAGATAATCTGTTAGTCGGACAACATTTTTGGATTTTTCTGCGTGTGTATGTATGTATATATATATATATATATATATATAGAGAGAGAGAGAGACAAATAGACAGTATTGACATAGGAATCAACACTGCTTGGTTACTATCAGTTTCAGCACTATCTTCAGGCCAAATCCACTATAAATGTTCAATTTCTAATATTGAATATAGCAAATTTGAAACATGATAGATATAATTTCAAAAGTAAAGCTTCTTATTATGGATAATTGGAAGTATGGCAGTAGAGGTTGAACTATTCCGCAAATAATCCATAAATTTTTCTGAGATGAGGTATTATGTACATTATTTACATTATTCGGACTATTGTCCTCATCTTTGTTGCCATATTTATCACAATGTTTCGACCGCTGTACGCTTCGGCCTTCTTCAGGTGGTTGGAATTTCGAACTGAACCCTTTATTTCGCTCACTGGAGTAGACTGTTCTAGTTCCACGTGCCATGTTATCAGTTATCTCCTGCTGGGATAGGCAGGTACAAGAGGAAGATGGTATTTATCAATCCACCTACGGGGATCGAATGTGGCACAAGGCCTTTTTAATGTGGGTATCACTGAGCCCATAGGCCCAGCCAAAAATAAATAACCATCCAAACCCGCCGAGGCGGGCCAGTTCCGTCAACCTCCCCCAACGAAACCCTACCCTTCGGCAGAGCTTCGTCCGGGTTCCTCTCTGCAAGCAGAGAGTTCGACAGACACCCGACCCGGCAGCTCACAAAGCGCAGATACTACACTTTGATCCTAGGCACCGGGCCGAGAGGGTATTCAAGAGGAACAAGAGGAAGATGACAACAACACTCAGAAAACAGTCTGCCTGCCTTATGTGAGGGTTTATCAGAGAAAATACAAAGGATCTGCCGTCCATATAACATCAGGACAACCTTCAAAAGCTTGACAACATTTCGCAGATATATCTCCCAAGTAAGACCCACAATAGAGGAGAACATGACTAAAGAATGTGTGTACGCTATCCTGTGCAGCTGCGGAAAGGAATATAAAGGAGAGACAGGCCACCCCCTCAAAGTAAGGCTTCAAGAACACCAAAAAGCCGTAACACGACGGGAAGTAGAAAAATCAGGCGTGGCTGACCACATATGGAGAGAGAAGGGAGTTCACTGCCCTCTGTGGGATCATGTTGAGATCATAGACAAGGAACACCATTGGAAAATTCGTAAACTTAAGGAATCAGCACATATGCTAGCCCACAAAAATCTCCTGAGCCGACCAAGCATAGAAATAAATACAATATGGGAACCAGTAATAAGGAGTGCCAGAGAAAAGCAATGATAACAAGAAAGTTGCAATATGAGCTCTGGTAAAAATATATAATGATAACAGCAAAATTGCAATATGAGCACTGGTAAAAATGGTTGCTGAAGACATTAGGTTTATAATACCCAGAAATTCATACCCAGATGTCCTCAAGGACACATGGTACAGTGGATAAAGGCGTTGGTTAGATCCAGTGACAGGACTCAGTGTGAGTTCAATACCCAGTTAACTTTCAGAGGGAAATTAGCAGGAGATAACTGATATGGCACATGGAACTAGAACAGTCTACAGTGAGCAAAATAAAGGGTTCAGTTCGAAATTCCAACCACCTGAAGAAGGCCGGAGCATACAACGGCTGAAACGTTGTGATAAATATGGTGACAAAGATGAGGACAATAGTCCGAATAATGTAAATAATGTCCATAAATTTTTATTTTTTGGCTCTGTTACAGATAACAGCTGCCTTGTAGCCTGTCATCTGATGTGTAATTTTGTATGAAATAGGTGTAGAGCCATTGAATTCCTCTATGTGGAAAAAATTGCACCCAATACTTGCTGAATGATTATGGAGACCAAAGAGTGAATATGAGCACAGACAGTAGGTAACATATTTTAGCAGTGGTGACATTTCTGGTGTTCCTGCTCAGCTCTCAACTCACCAAATAAAGATAGCTTTGGCGGTTTGTTTTTATCAAATGCCGTTATTGTATCTTCTGTAGGATTGAGTAGGATTGAGTAGGATTGAGTAATTGATTTGTTTTTTATGGTTTTGTAGCAAAAAAAAAAAAAAGGCTTTAAACATATTGTTGCAATTAATTCCTACAATCTGTTTCTTCTGTCTCTCTTGTCTGCAACACTTGTAGCCAATTCAACACAACAGTCAACCGTTGTTTTCTTCAATGACTTTTCTATTTTTATCTATCATTAACAGTCAAAATTTGTGTATGTACAAAGATAATCTTGCAAAAGAGCATCTTACTCCATAATCTATTTTAAATATGTGACCCGTGAAGCTGCCATTTCTTTCTCTGTTGGACAGTTTACACTGTGAGGCATGTTTGAATTTTTGATTGTGTTAGAGGTAAGTTATTTTATTCTAATGTTGCAAAAAAATACATGCAACCCTGGGCTTCTTTGCCCTCTGCGGTAGTTCACTACAGGTTTATCAACCTTTTGCAGGTTATTTAAAGCCAGGAAGCAATTTTCATTGATATATTTCATTTAAAAAAATAGACAAGGACTTTATTTACATTTCAGAGTGCATGTGTTTGGTTGCAGTTTTGTTTAAATATTAGCAATTATGCACTTCTGGTCATTTTTCAGATTTAAGATTATGTCGATGTCTTTTGATATTGTCGTCATGTATTTTATTTATGTCACAGCAAGTGACGTTCTTCAATGGATAAATCTGTCACCACTTGGTGAATACATTTATAAAGCAGTTACAACATTGAAGATTTTCATTTGGATTTTTTGATATGTTTTTTTTTTTTTTTTTTTTTTTAGGTTAATAAAGATGTTGTTTATTAGATGCTGAAAAGTCCTCAGCCTGATCAAGAAGGGATAAAAAAAAATTGTTGAAGTGGACCATACTTGGGTGTTGGTCCCTAAAGCTTGGGCATACAGGAAATAAAATTATTTCAAAGAAAATTCTGTTATTTTTTCTCAATCAATTTTCTACGGCTACCAAGAAATTGATTCATGGACTCAAAAGGATTAAAACAAAAATAAACAGACATAGTGTGTCTAAACTAACCAAACCTGTTTGAATATGGGGGATGTATGAAAAAGTGTAAAAAGTTTTCTTTTGACATGTTTCATCCTTTTGGACATTATTAGACTAAATTTATTATGTTGCTGCGACTACTCATGCGCATGAATAAGGGGTCCTGGGAATTTTGAATTTTTTTTTTAATCTTGCTGATTTCATTAAGATTCTTTTTTTTTTTTTTTTTTTTATTCTTTCCACCTCTTTTGTTAGTAGATACCCCCCCACTGTGATAATAGAAGTTCTGCCAGGAATATGTGTGTGTGGGGGGGTATCTGCTAACAAAAGTGATTGGAAAAAAAAAAAAAGAATCTAAATGAAATTGGCTAGAGGGAAAAAAATTTCTTTTTTGTAAAGGATCAAATGTGTCACACGGAAACGTTTTCCACTCTGTCATACATTTTCCCCAATATTGATCTTGATATAAAAATATATATCATTATCTCATTCATTATTATATATATATATATATATATATATAGTCAAACCTAGAGATCCACACAAACCTACCAAGGTTTCACCTAAGCAGATCGTCAGGGAAAGCTGGTCTGTTCTACTATTGTATTGAGTACTTTTTTAGTTAGTTGATTACTCGTATCAGGGGTTTTTTTTTGGGCTTTGGACCTGTATTGTATTATTTTCGACAGACGTTGATGTTCCTAGCTCTTTTTTTTTTTTAAAACCTTTTTTTTCTTCGAAATTGATTTGATCATTAGCAAATCAAGAAACTGAAGTTTTTTTTGTGTAGTTACTTATATATATATATATATATATATATATATATATATATATATATATTTGTTAGAAACAGTGGCTAGTGATTATTTAGCATATTTATAATTTTGTTAACCAGTAAAGGGAGTTTTTCTTTATAGTTAGATTCTAGATTCTTAGGATGTTAAGGTATTTTTTGATGGGTTTATTGGGTGTGTATATTTAAAATGATTTGATATTTAAGTTTTCCATAATTTTGGCTTTCAAGTCTCTTTTTTTTTTTTATTCTTTAGCAGAGAGTTTTAGACACATACAGACACTATGTGACAAACATTAAAAATGCACATTAGAATTCAGTGACACACACACACGTCTTGAGATCTAAATACATGAGATGTACCTGATGAATGAAAACAAAGATTGCAGAAACTGAAATAGCAAAAACTTCTCTTCCATAATCTGATGAAGCTAAAATAAATGTAAAATATGACAAATTTAGAAAACATTTTTGTTCTTTATTTAATCTGATATAATCTGGTTTCTCATTTTGTTTTCTCAGCATGTGCCCAGAAAATTTTTCTACAAAGCTTCACTGGTTACAACTTCACCTTTACAACAGATCAAAATTTCGTCCCTGATTTGCTGCAGAGGTCAACGTGGTATGTGCACACGCATTCAAGTTGACCAATTCACTCAACTCCCTCTTGAAGACCCTCAGAAAGGACAACTGATTTACAGTGGACCCCTTACCAGGACAATACGAGCAGTGAAAATCCTTTCGCTCAGCACTAGTACACTTGGCCTATGTATGCAGCCAGTTATTCTGATGCGGTCAGCTGAAGCATCTTTATTTCTCAAAATTGCTTTCAGCTCTTTTTTCTCCTTCTTTATTTTTATCACTCCTTTGTTAATACACATGATTAGCAAAAAATATGTTACTGGAGCCTACTTTGAACCGAATAGCAAGACTTTCACAGCTTCTAAATATTCATTCTTCTGTCGATCACTCGAAATGAAGTTCACAGCTGAAGATGTGAAGGTGCCTGATGTTGCAGGTCCATTTACTAGTCTCATAGTCAAGGATACTGCCTTGTTTATGGACCCCAAATTTTTTCTAGACAAAAATGCATATATTCATCTCATGGGATTTGATAAACCCTTGGACTGGGAACTCCCAAGACCAAATGACAAGGAATCAAGTAAAAAATAACTGATTTCTACAAACTTCTAAAAAAAACAAAACAAACAATAAACCTTAAGTTGTTTGAATTATTTTTTCAAAATCCAAAAGCTAAGCGTTGATTATCATATGACAAAAAAAGATCCTTGTTTGTGAATAAATAAGTTGATAAAGGTAAAATATCCACATCTTATACTTTAGCATGTGTATATTGAATATTGGGCAAACATAGACTTTCGTGCTGCAATAAGACGTAGTGTCTAAAAGGACAATATTTCCCATGACACCATTTTTATTTTAATGACCTTCAATCTTTAGCAATATTTTATTGTTTTAAAAAGTGATGATTAGAATTGGAATAAAACCTAAACATATCAAAGTGAATTTATACATTTTTTTCTCTCTATTCTTACGCAAGCGGTTTGCTCCCTGTACAAGTTCTGGGTCTTATCCTTCCCAAATATGTCAAGGTAACCTAGAAATTGCAACACTTCTTTATGATCTATTTTATTAAGTGTTAGTATTTAGGGGGAGGTAATTCTTTTTTTTTTGTAAGATTTGTCTCCCTTGTTCATTTACTAATGAACTGATTCATCCACTAGGCAATGTTCCGTGTTGACGTTTCTCCATTAATAAGAATATTAAATATAATGTTTCATGTATTTTCATGACGTGGGCAGTCATGGCTTTCAGCAACTCTTCTTCTCTCACCCCCTTACCTCCACTCTATTCTGCTGCCCATTCACTCAAATTGTTGGCTGTTCCCCCCCCATTTTGTTTTCAGTATGTCTTGTGAGTGTTAAATTCTCCAATTTTCCTTTATTCATTCAGTGAACGAATGTTTTCAGATTTCTCTTTCTGATTGTTAGCAGCAGTTTCCTTGAAATTCCTGTTCTTCTTAAAATTTTCTTTCTCACACATTCTGCCTACAGTTTTATTAGTATTTCATGATTAAATGACATCTGAAAAGTAAATTAACATTCACTGCCATATAGGACATTAAATATTATATAGAAACACAAGTGTTGGAGAGCTAACGACATTTTCTTATCTCTTAAAATTTAATTTCTGAAAGACAATTCAGTAAATTTGCAGATTAAGCCCCGCAAACCAGTTGTAATTCAAATTTGCAGAAAATTTCCATTTTGGTGTAAATTAGATTATTTCGAAAATAACAGCAAAAGATTGTGGAAATCTATTGTTTAGGAGTTATCGACAATATAATTTCAGCTTTATTCACTTCATGGCTACAGCCCAGCAGCCATTACTGGCATTATTTACATATGTTTGCCTCGAGTAGTGATCTGGCATGGAAGATTCACTTGTCTTGATTATTGCACATACAATGTGCAAACTTTAATTTAAAATGAAAGCACCAAATTTAAAAAGTAACCCAAATTTTGGGTTATTAAATTTGGTGTTTTAAAAAGTATGATTATTTACAGAATAGCAATGACAATTACAGAAAAGCTACCTATTAACCCATTACCTGCCATGAGACCCATTTAGGGATGTGTTAAAATTAAACTCACTACATATTATTCCTTGTATTTACATTGAATTGCTTACATACATTGCATTTGCTGAGGTATATTTTACAACACTTAGCCTTTAAAGTTTTTATTATTAGCCGTAAGAAGACGCTTTCTGTCGTAATTTTACATTTCACGATTAGAAAAATAATGACCATTTTGAAAAGTATTTTATTATTCCTAATCAATATTATTTTTTGATGTTTTATACACATATATATTTGATGTTCTAGTTTCTATAAAAATGACAATGGTAACTACTGAAATTAAACATAAGGAATAAATAAACTCCTAAGACACCTGTCCGGGCCAAAAATGCGTATTAAGAAAATTTGGCAGTTAATGGGTTAAAATTTGTTTTATTTAAACAAGAATTCATTATTATTACACCTTCACTATAACAAAGCAACACTTGTCATTGCTTTTCTAAATAACTTAAACAAAATTTTAAAAAAGAATTCAAAAGTGTCTAAAGACTTCTTTTGATTTTCCACAGTAATTGAGACAAGAAGATAGGAAGATCAAGGCCATTAACAACATAAGCTTCTGCACATGACTCTGTGGCTTAATCTGTAAATTTACCAACAATTCTCATGCATCTTGAGATTTATGACCAATTTTGTCCATTACTACACGACTCAGTTAAATTTACAAAATCTGCTTGATTTTAACATCCTTATAATTTAGGTCACATCTTGGGTTGTTTCTTTTTACTAATGAAAATGGATTGTCTTACAGTTCATGGTTGGTTCTCTCCTTGGTTTCTTTACCAAAAAATTATTTGAGTTTTCTTTCTGAATTTGCCATCAAATCAATATCATTTATGTAAAATATGTTGATAAGTTTACGTTTGCCTATATTAAAACTTGGTATCTCTAGAGGAGGTATGGTGGAGTAAGGGATCGTGGCTCAGATTGAGGAATCGGAGAGGTGAGTTTGAATTCCAGTCGAAACCATTACATTCATTTACGTGCTAATAGCCTTGGGAAAGGTATGAATCCTCTTCTTCTCCCTCCATCTATGGGTAAATAACAGGGCAGATAAGGTTCTATAGTCTTGAATAGCAACTGGTCTACTGCAGAAAGAAATGGCAACCTTCTACGGGAAAAAAATCTGCCTTGTCAGTCATGTATCGAAAGATACATGATCACCTAAGCGTTTATGACGCATAGAATATAACTGACTGAGATCTTTTTGTCCTTTTAAAATCACCGCGTTGTACCAACTCCAACTAGATGGGTGGTGTTGGTTGTACTTGGGTGTTAAAGCGGGGTAAATCTTAAATGAATTATCTCCCCTTTAAAAAAAGAAAATCTTAAATTACCTCCCTTAAAAACTGCTGATTCCCATAATGTCCTTGAATATATTTTTTTTTACTAATATTTTCTATTTTCAAATTGTCAAGAAATGTTGGCAGGCTGTGATTTTAAATTGTTTTCTATCTGTTTTATAATTTAAAGAATTATTGATATATGTATGTGGGCAAAAATTCTCAGAAATCTTTTTGGACAACAAGACTAGAAAAATGTTACAGAAAAAATTATTTTGGGATTTAACTTTCAATGATAGTGTTTTTATTATTTATTTACTTTCTTCATGTAGAAGTAGATTACATTTATATATTTTTCTACTCCTCTAAGATAAAAATCTCTTTACACCTCTATCAAAGGTGTGAGACATGGCAGTTGTAAGTATTCCAGTGTATAACTGAAATGTTCTCAGTCTGATCGCTTTTCTAAAATGTAACCAGACACATGTATATAAATGTAACCAGACACATGTATATGTAACCTACCTACTCTGTTGGACAAACCTTTTTGATTGTTGACACGTCTATCAACACACCTATTACTTCTCAACTCACACATCACCCCCCCCCAGCTCTATTTCTTCTCTCAGTTGCAAGTCACTCATTCTACTAGCTTGGTTGTGTAATACCAAACTTACTTTCAATTGACTTTCTTTTTCTTCCTCAGTTGAGGCCAGTGTGTTGATTTTGGTTTCCTAAAATTTTACTATATTGGGATTGATGGTGAAGTGTAGCATACATTTGTGTACTATAGATAGGAATGTATAACTCCTGTTGGAGATTACACAACACCTTCCATTGCTGTGGTAAACTTTTGTCTCCTTTGAGCACTCATCAGAACTCAGGTTGGAAAAGAACTCCTTTAATGAAATACACAACACTTGATAAACTCTTACAACAGGTTTATTGAATATAAAGAAAAGCTGGTTTAATAACATTTATTCGTTATTGCAGATCCAAATCACTACTGCGGGAGTGGTGATTTGCAGATTCTAGTTGTAACCATCAAAGAAGTCCTGTCAATTCTTCAGTTTTGTGTGTGTGTGTGTTTTCTCACTGGCCCAGAAATTTTCCCTACACAGATGACAGAAAATAATTCACTATACCCAACTTTAATTATCTCCAGTTCCCCATAAGAGGAGCCAAAATCTGGTCTGTCTAACTCATGCTAAAAGTCCTAAATAATGTCAGTTGTAAAAATTTTAGTTGAATGTCACAGATAAACAATCCTGTTCTTACTCTTTGGTATTATGGTATTTCTTTTGTCCATTCCAAGTCACACTAATCTTTTAGCAAAGATTTTTTTTTTTTTTCTGGGTGGTCATTTTATCTTTCTATATAAACCAAATTTTCTTCGCCTGATTCTTTGTCCAGACTTAATCTGGGATCATTATTTTCAATGATCACTTGTTTTCTCTACCAATAAGGTATTATGAACAATGTCTTTTTTCTATTTTCTCAGGACCTAACAACTTGGACAATACATTGTCCCCTTTCTTGCCGCCAGGGACGATTGGTTCTGCTCAATCTTACTGAATTCTGTAGAGTTAATTGGGGTTCAGCTCTTGTAAATATTCTTAAAAATTGTTATAAAATAAAATAAAATTAACGCATTTTGTTTCTCATTTTCTTACCCAATTGGTAGTCTCACCAAAATACCATTTTGTAATTTCGTTTAAACCAGACCAGTGAATATAGTTTCATTGAAAATGACTGACAACATAGTGCAAGTGAGCTTAAACCCCCTCTCCTCTGCATTCATATTAGTGTTTTCTTTTCTGGACGTAAAGGGTGTCAAAATTGCCCAAATGTTCCACATATCTGAGTTTTTTGACTATTAGCCATTATTGGGAGATGACTTATTTTTAACTGAATGTATAGAAATTATAATTATTATTATTTTTTACATGTGGATGAGGGTTTAGTATGTTTCTGTATGTAAATGAGCTATGATCAGACAGGCAACAATAACGTCAGTCTTCTTGGTAGGCATGTATTCAGGCATTTGATTTGATCAGAAACGCAGTTTATTAAATTCATAAATAATATTTGTTTCTCTAATTTAAAGGAATTTTGTTATTGTTCATAAGGTTAGCTGCTTAATTTTTAAAAGTAGATAATTAATTTTTGATATGTCCCAGAAAGGGATATAATTGTTCGAAGTAGCAAAGTGGCTGTTCGCTATTGTA